GTAATCTTCGTTGTTGATGAGAATCTGAAGTTGTCACTCTCTTTGTTTGAAGTTTATAATTGTTGATTGTTGAATAAAATGAAAGTTTCAACTTATTCCAATGACATTGGTTCGAAATTGAAAGCTATGGGTCTAATTTATAATAAACTGAAAATAGAGGGGGTAAAAACGAAATTATCCATGAAACTAAAAACTCAGGATAAACATTGGATTTTGCAGGAATCGCCGGAGGGAGAAAGCTATGGTGACGACGAAGATTTTATCAACTCCTCTCTCTCCGAGACTTACATTTCTGTGTAAGTTCTTCTCTCTCTGAACAATTTCATTGACTTTTGGGCAAAACAGGATTAAAGCTTTTAAATTTCTTGTAGGTGAAAAACTGAGACTTTCGAAATGTCGGAGTAAACGTTCGACGTTTTGTTCATTGAGTGAAGAACCAAAATACGAAAGGTAAAGTTTGCTTTTTTGAGAGATGGGTTACCTTGGTCTTGGTTTATTTGCTTGTACCATTGTTAAAGACAAGGTTTTGAATTGCAGTTTGAATCGGAGAAGGCTTGTTTATGTTTTGGTTTCATCGCCATGTTTGTTTCCGGTGTTATCTTCATCTGCAAAGACTAAATCTAAGAGCCCTTATGATGAGAGAAGGTTACTAGAACAGAACAAGAGGATACAGAGAGAGAATAATGCTCCTGATGAATTTCCTAATTTTGTTAGAGAAGGTTTAAAGCTTTTGATTACATACTTAAGATTCTTGCTGATTGAATGTGTGAGCTTATTGTTCTTTTGTTTGTGTTTTATGTTTTTGATGATATAGTGCAGGTTTTGAGGTTAAGGTAGTAGCTTCAGATAATTACATTAAGGCTGATTCAGGCCTTATATATCGGGATTTCGATGTTGGTCAAGGTGATTGCCCGAAAGATGGCCAGCAGGTACGTTACTTATCTCAAGTTAGATCATTTCTGAAATATCGGATATGATCGAAGAGGCTATTGATTTTTATGGTATTTGGGCAGGTGACTTTTCACTATATCGGATACAATGAGTCCGGTAGACGAATAGATAGTACTTACATACAAGGCACTCCTGCTAGAATCCGGATGGGAACCAATGCACTTGTTCCAGGCAAGTATTTAACTTTTGCCCTCGAATGGTTTGATGTTAATGAAGAATCTTTTCCGAAAGGAAACACATAGAAGATTACCTTCTTTTATTAACGGATAATGATGATGCAGGATTTGAAATGGGAATTCGTGACATGAAGCCCGGTGGGAGAAGAAGGATTATTATCCCTCCAGAATTGGGACCTCCGGTTAGTTCATACTTTATCCTTGCATCACAGTTTTTAAGTGTAAACTTGATTAGTAGTGAACTTTTTGTTGAGCCATTCAATTGCATATACCATTCAAGAGCTGACGGTCGCAAATGGAAGTTGTAGCCTAAGATTGCTCGTTTAGGACGTATGTAGATTAGTTTTTAACTGTGTAAAATTGTCTTAAAACAATGTCCTTACTTCATCATTTGGCTCTCTAAACCAGGTGGGACCTTCGACCTTCTTCAGCTCAAAGCAATTTGAAGTTTTCGACGTGGAGTTGCTAAGCATCCAGAATTGTGAGAGAAGGACAATAGGGTTCTACTCAGATGTCACATGCAATTGACTTCCTAAGTGATGATGTTTCCCATCACTAAACCCTTTCATTAAATCTTCCTTTGTTCGTTACTCGAAACTCTTTTAATCTTCTTTGCTTAGGCATTATTATCTTATGGGTTTCATGGAGTGGAGGAAAATTACATAGGAGGAAGGTAAAGAATCATGTAAAGTCTCGACCTTTTCATGATCGTAATTAAACGTTTTGTTGCTTTAATCGATCACGTTTTAAAGCATTTTTGTTTTCTTCTATCTCTCTGATTCGGTTCCAAATTTTTCTCTCGTTGTTTTATATTTTCTACCCCATTCTTTGGCACTCTTTAAGAAACACCCCAAACAATTGATAAATTGAACAAAAGATACATTGGAGTTTTGGAAACGACGGTAGAGATGTTCATAGTCTTTGTGAAATTCGTTTAATATACCGTAAATAATAATATTTACGGAAACTACTTGTGTAATTTGCAAAGTAAGTCCCAACGAAATCGAATGAAAGGGTAAATGAGTAATTTTCGCAAGAAGATCCATTAAGGTCTAGACCTTTCGTTTAATGCAGAGGGTTCGATTTTACTTACCACCAAAAAACCCTAAACTCTCGCCGACTTCTCTTTGTCCTTCCCAGAAATCGATTTGTAGGTCATCGGAAAGTCTCTAGTGTTCTCGGCGACTTCTTCTTCTCTTCGACGTCTTCTGATTTCTAGGGTTCCTCTGTATTTCACGTAAGAAAGTTTGGCTTTTTCCATTCCG